TCTCTCTCTCTCTCTCTCTCTCTCTCTCTCTCTCTCTCTCTCTCTCTCTCTCTCTCTCCAACCAAGAGAGGGTCTGTGTAGCCCTGTCTGTCATCCAACTTACTCTGTAGATCTCTGTCTCAGAGATCCACCTGTCTTTACCTCCCAAGCAATGGGATTAAAGGCATGCACTACCTACCACCCCGTGACCAGGCATTTCCTTAATTAGTGATCGATGGGGAAGGGGCCCAGGCCAATGTGGGTGGTGCCATTTCTGGACAGGTGGTCCTGGGTTCTATAAGAAAGCAGGTAAGCAAGCCATAGCAAACAAGCCAGTAAGCAGCTCCCCCATGGCCTCTGCATCAGCTGCTCCCTCCAGGCTCCTGCCCTGCCTGAGTTCCTGTGCTGACTTCCAGGATGAATGGAGATATGGAAGTACAAGCTGAATAAACCTTTTCCTCCTTAGTTTGCTTTTGATCATGGTATTTTATCACAGCAATAGTAATCTTTTAAATTATTTCTTTATTTTTGTTTTTTGAGACAAGGTTTCTCTGTGTAGCCCTGGATGTCCTGTAGAACAGGCTGGCTTCCAACTCACAGAGATCTGCCTGCCTCTGCCCCAGAGGGCTGGAATTAAAGGCGTAGACCACCACAACTGGCTGGGCAATAGTGATCTTAACTAAGACACATGGCATACATGTGTATGTGCACAGCCAGAGTCACACAGATGACTTGAGCCGCTCCCCATCATATAAATATATGTTTGTGTGTATATGTGTGTGTATATAAGTGTGTGTGTACATATAAACACACATATGTATTTTATACACGTATTTCTGCTTTTTAAAAAGGTTTTGTTTATTTTTGTTTTATGTACTTGGAGATTTTGCCTGAATGAATGTCTTATACACTATGTATCCAGTGCCTGTGGAGGCCAGAGGAAGGTGTTGGGTCCTCTGGAACTCGAGTTGTTAGCTGCCATGTGGGTGCTCAGTCCTCTTAATAGCTGACCACCTTATAGATTTTGAGACAGGGTCTCTTACTGAACCTGGAGCTTGCTAATTTGGCTAGACAGGCTGGCCAGTTAGGCCCAGGGCTGGGATTACGGGGTGCGCCATTGTCCCTGGCTTTCCTCCTGGGTCTGGGGATTGAAGTTTATGCAGCAAACATTTTACTGACTGGACCATCCTCCAGATCACCTTGCTTCTTCCTTTGGAAACATGTAACTCACACTGAGGACTGAAGGGGTAAACTCCCCTCCTGAGAGGAGCATCTACAAACACTCAATTTCTTCTGTAAGAACATTGTCTTTCATCGTGACTTGTTTATCTGCTCACCAACCATTCACACCAGCATGGATTCATATATTATTTTACAATCATATTAAAATCCAGTATGATGTTATTTAGTTTGTTGTTCAAATCATTTGATAACTGACCATTAGGAGCTTGTTACTTCTTTGTGACAGTTTCCGTGTGTGTGTGTGTGTGTGTGTGTGTGTGTGTGTGTGTGTGTGTGTGTGTCTGGAAGTCAGTCAGTTCTCTTCACTACCATGTGGGTTCTGGGGTTTGAACTCAGGGCATCAGGCTTAGTGGCAAGCACCTTTAATCACTGAGCTACCTCAACAGCCTTCCAGCCTATTTTTTGAGACAGATCTCTTATAGAACCTGGAGCTCACGGGATTAGTGGTGTGTGCCACCACACTCACCTCTTTTCAGGGGTCCCGGGGATCTGAACTCAGGTCCTGAGGCTTGCACAAAGAGCACTTTACTGTCTAAACCGTCTCCTTAGTCATCTGAGTTTTTGTGTGTGGTGCTGTGGATTAACCTCAGGGCTTTGCACACGCCAAAAAATGCTCCACTAATGTATTGTTGAACTAGTGACGAAATTCCAGAGAAGACGCAACTTTCAGCTTACAGTTTGAAGGGACACAGTCCATCATGGTGGGGTAGGCACGGTGCAGGAACTGGACGCGGTTGATCACATCTACAATCAGGAAGTAGAGACATGATTGCTAGGCTTGCTTTCTCCTTTCCACTCATCTATGACCCTGGTCCACGCTGCCCACATAAAGTCAGACACCCACATCAATTAACCTAGCCTGAAAACTCCCACAGAGACAGAGCTTTTTCTATGGTGACTCTAAATCCAGTCAGGATGACCATCAAGAAAGCCATCACACACTGTAAGCTTCCTGTGTCCAGGAATGATTCCCACAATGCCCAGCTGACAATCTCCTTTGTGCTCAAAAGTCTTTCTGAGGGTGGTAGGTTGATTTGAACTTGAGACAATCCACACAAACAGCACTGCCTGTGGACATGGAGCACTCTAGTTTATAGATGGCCTGTGGGACTGTGTGGACGGAGAGTTCATGGCACAGGGATGAATCCTTCCCTCTGCTCACTGCTCTCACCACATGGACTGTACTGCTGGAACCTCTTGGAGACCTGCTCACTGGTCGAGGACAAGGACAAGAGAAGGACAACAGGAATGAGCTGCCGTGGCAGGGAAGGGAGTGTGCAGCATGATGGGTTGGTAGTGCACGAACATCACCTGCCCTGAGGATACGCACACGACCACAACACAGGCTCTACCCAGGCTGGGAGTCACTAAAAGCCCAGAGGGTGCCCCATGTCCTCAGAGGTCCAGTCCAAAGGCTGCAGCAGCCAAGATGTCCAAGGGGACCAGGTATGGCCCCCGATACACACACTCTGCTCAGATCCTGAACTCAGGCAGGTGCAGTGTTGTGGGCTGTTGGCTGCCCACAGTGACAGAAACCCTCCTCGACTCGTGTGTTTCCACCTCCAAGCTTGAAGAGGACATGCTTGGAGTCAGGAGAGGTGAGGAGGACTGTGACCAGGAAGCAGAGGTGACAGTCGGGGCCACTAAACCAGGCATTTGGCTCAGCATGTGCCTGCTTAGAAAGGTCAGCTCTAACTGTCTTTGGCAAAGATACAACCATTTTTTTGTTCAGAAACTGATGACATCAGGATGTCTCCAGCCATTTGTTCTTCAGAGTGGGAGGGGCTCCTGTGCTCACTCCCCCATGCACGTGGGGAGGGGATCCATAGGCGCCAGGTTCTTGCCCAAAGGCATTTGGAACTCCTGGGAGGCAGGGTTGGGGTAGGTGGGATGGAAGTGGGCGGGACTGGCTCAGGGAGACAGTAGTTCATAAGGTAGCAGGATCTGCTCTGAGAGGAGCATTTAGCACTCTGCACCATGAAGGGGACGCTGCTTCTGCTGGCCTTGCTGGTGACCGGGGAGCTGGGCTTCCAGACAAGTGAGAATGGGAACAGACAGCCTTTCTGACCTTGCTTACCCCATCTCACTTCCATAGAGGTCTCTAAGCAGTGCCCTGAGGCAGATCTACAGGGTCCCTGGGAGGTCACCAGCCAGGAGTCCTGCAGAAGATCCTTGCAGCTCTCTGCTCTGGACTGCGACAGTTGGGGTGGGTGGGATGGGGAGACAGAGGTGTGACGGAGGTGTGGTGGTGATGATGGGTCTTAGCTGCAGGCACAGTTGAAGCTGAGTCATGTGTGGGACTCATGTGAAGGTCACATATGCAGGCTGGTACACTCAGATATATATCCCCTTCTGCTGGGAGTGCTGTCTCATGGAAACTGCGTGCTGTTTCTGGGAGGCAGCAGCCTTTGGGAGGGCAGGACTGTGTGGAATGTCAGCTAGGACATTTGTAGATGTGAGAAACCCTGAGCCTCCTCTTCTGCCAGCATGGGGCTCCTTTAATGATGTTCTTCTGTCTTTGTTTGCAGCGGAAGCATGTCTTTCTTTCTTTGAAGCCTTTGCTGGAATGGCCAGTGGAAACAAAGCATTAATGAATTTAATCCTTTCCAAATTTGAACCTACTGGCCAGGAGAGGGAGGCTTTTGAAAAACTCCAGGAATGCTACAATGGGTTAGGACTGAGCGGCAAATTGCTGGATGCCAAAGTTATGGTAACTTCCCCCTCCCCCCACACCCCCAGGCAGCATATGGTAGAATGCTGTGTACAAATGATCCATGCAGTCAGTAATGTGTGTCAGGGGATAGACAAAGGAGCACTCAAGCCCTTGCCCACGCTATCACATGTCAATGCAGCATGCCTGGTACACATCCTGCCTGTCCTATGCAAGTTCCTGCAACTCACTCCCACACGATGGGTAAACAGGGGTTCTCACCCACAGCAGGACAGGCAGTGACACAGGACAGTCCTTGGTGTGGCTTCTGCACGGGTAGGGCACCCTCAGCTCTATGCTAGGCGCCTGAAACTTCTGCTGGCCAGTGTCACCTCCTCTGGAGCCTCCCTTGACTCTACTTCCCCTCTCAGATGGCGCCCTTCTGCCACTGGCGTCCTCAGAGCCTCAGCCAGAACCTCCCTCCATGGCTCAGATGCCACCCCCACCTCCTCCCTCCATGGCTCAGATGCCACCCCCACCTC